ACCGATGCTCATTAGATCATTCCTGTATATATATATATATATGTGTGTATATATATATATTAGGTTTAGAAAAGGTATAGTTAATAATAATAATAAAAAAGCCAACGAGCTAAAGCGGCGAGCTTGTGGGCCGAGCCGAGGGTCTGCTCTGCTTGTTTGTCAACGAGCCGCGAGCTCGGCTCTTGCGAGCACCGGCTACTTGCACAGGGCCACATGGGCCTTGTGCATGCCAAGGGACACCTTGGCGTGCACGGCCCATGTAGCCCTGTGCATGTAGTATTTTTGTAAGTCTGGGTGGTTGCTGAATCATATGCATGGAAAATAAATCCAAGCTTCGTTTATTGTGTGGGGGTCTGTTGGGAATTTATTTAATCATGCACGACGTAAAATAAAATAGATTTCAGTTTCTACAAAGAATTTGCTTTGTATTTAGATAGAAATCGTGATAGAAAATTATAATTTTGATGAATTCCTTGAAGAACAGTTCTGATCTTTAATCTACAGCTATCCAATTGTCCAGCCTTCAATGGAAATTCACATAGGAAACAAGATTGAGAAAAATAAGGATTTTTTTTTCTTGTGCTAGCAAGAGTATGATTATATTATGTTATAAATTTTCAAACCTTTTGCAACCTATTAATAAAAGTCCATGTGGGTTTAATCCATCACTTAAATTTAGCCCGATCCAATATTTAATTAATCCAATTAATTAATTCGGGCATACTAACAAGCAACACAATTAATAAATTGTCAAACACTTGTTAATTAATTAATTGGTGAATCTCATTCTTTTAATTCTCCTTATGTTCTCGATCATGATGCCAGCGACATGAATTATTATTTTGATCTTATTAAATTCGATAAATTAAAATATTCATTTTTAATTTATTATCAATTCACATTCGTCGTCTTCAATTGACTTCTAACAATGTGTTAGAGTAATAAATGTGACGGGAAATGTCCGTGTTATGATAAAATCAAATTTATTTATTTATCGTGAAACTATAATCATTTCATCAATATGATCTAATCAATTATGAGATATGGATGTGTGACTATCTCAATTATCAATCATACCTTTCATTCCACTATTAAGGGGCCGTTTGATTCTCATTATTGTAGAATGATAATGAAAAATATAGTCGTTATTGGGCCCCATACAAGAGATAGAAATTCAAAATTGATGGCTTGATGTGATGGATAATGGTTATATTTTTCATTTTTATGGACGAAAAATGATAAACAAATGGGGGCTAAGTCAATATAAGTCGAAAACTAAATGAAATATACTTTAACCAATGATTTCATTATCAACTTAACTAAATGAAATGTAGATTATAATATTTTACTCTTAAGATTGATAAATCCTCAATTGATCATTCACAACTATGATTCATAACCACTGACACTCAGATAGTTATTCTTGTGAAATCTCTCCAGCGAGTCCCCAATGTTTTTTCTATAATAAATTATTCACGTGTTCATTTAAATGTCATCGCACTTTAATTTGTGAGATCAACTACTTATTTTACAAGTCAGAAATGCCACGCTTGATGGTCTAACTGTAATAGCGATATTCATATTTCGTTATTACTTACGATCACTTTTGGTTTAAAATCCAGTCTTATGTAATTTGTATCGCAGAATTAAAACTCATTGTGATTGGACTATATTATTTAGTTTATTAGAATATTAATTCAATTAAATAATGGATCTGTCATAAATAAAATACATCAATTATGTATCAAAAGTGTTTGTATCCAAAATCGATTGAATATAGGGCATAACACTTACAGGTCCTATTCCACAACATCAGTGGACCAAATATCAGATTCCTGAGATGCATCCACAACAGCAAATAGGCAAGCTGCTTGTTTCAATGCTTGCCTGGCCATCTCGTTCTACGCTAAGAAGTACTGCGCAATATATTTGTAGTTATTTGCTAGGTTGTGTTTAGAAAGAAAAACCCAAGTAAGTAGCGTTCAACTAAATAAAATGTGTTCAAAATTTTATTGAGTGTTGTTGTACTCGAAGATTATTTGAGCACTCATTTCATTTGTTTTTCAAATAAAGTGACACTAGAAAGCAATTAATACCCTTAAATAATGCCCTAAAGAATATTAAAAGGACTCTATTTTTAAAAAAATAATTTTCTAGTATGATTGTAATAATTTCAAAATATTTGCACATGCAATGCAAGACACAAAATTATTATTTTTGCATTTTTTGGTAACTTAAATTAAGAATCGAGATCCATAAATGTAAAGTAAAAGTAATGACTAGAGATAAAATAATAATAATAATAATAATAATCAAGAGACTTTCCACAAATAATAATAATAATAATAATAAATCTCTCTGATTGCTGGAGGGATTTCGGAAAAGTTTAGTGATTCGAAGTATCTTTAGACGAGATTGCTGCTCTGCACATGACACTCGTACATCTTGTCTTTGAAATGCACTAGTCTATTGTCAAGAAGCTCAAGTAATGTGGATATGCAAAAGATAAACATAATTGACACCGAGTTTCTAGATAAATTGTGCAACCACTTAAGGTTGCTATGAATATTTTTAGATTGGTTGATATATTCTCATAGTTGGAATGCCGCGAAGATAGGGCCCTTCCTCTAAAGGCATTGAATTTTATAAAAAGAAAGCCCTGTTACAGTTGAAGTATGCATTACAGCTTTCATTTTGTTGAGAAATCTATCTCGCTCTGACAGTGGGGAAGTGTACACTACAAGAATAATGGACAATATTACAAGTACATAATTGTTTCATAGATTTTTCTGAGAAAAAACACATGGCACAGTTTCATTGGAAGAAGAAAAAAAAAGAAAAAAAGGGTTGGCAGCACCTGTGAAAACCCTGTGGATAATTCCTTGTACTCAGGGAAGTGTGCAGTGCAAGATAATTTAGTACTCATTTCATTTGTCGTATTGAAGGTACTCTAGATATGAATAAATACTCAATACTATCACATACAAGATATCAATGGTTCTTTCTTTCTTTTTTTTTTAACAACATTAATTTTTTATATATTTGAAATCAAATTGAAAAATTTACTATTCATTTCACAAAATTTAAAGTTGAAAGGCACGAACATTGCACGTACTAACCAACATGCATTGGCAAGTTAAACAAGACGATAAGAGAAATTCTTAATATGTGATCAATAATAAATCTCACCATTTATACAGCTTATTACCTTTTCTATTTTTTAGTTTATTCTTGAGCCCCATTACCCAAAGCTTATTGAAAGGAAAACTTACAGTACTAATGTACCTATATGATTTATATACATTTTGTATACTGTTTTTTGCCGTCTTATATTTTAGAAACTAAATTTTAAATATATAGTATTTTAAAATATAATTCAAAATTTTAAATTTTACTTAAAACGTATTCATAAACGACATAACAATAGATACATTTTTCATTATTTTTCTTCCTTTTTTACCAACTTATTTTTAAGAATTTAGTTCTGTCAGTTAGAAAGTGAATTGAAATATCTGTTTAACACTATAAATATTTTAAAAGTAACTTTCATTTTCTTAAAAGCAAAGCCAAATATGTTTCCGTTCCCTACGCTCCTATCCGCAGACACAATGCTTGTAAATTGTAGTACTCCATAAAACCAATGGCCTTTAAGCAAATACACAGAAAAAGGGCAATCAAACGAGACCATGACTGCATATGGTCGCATTATTTTGAAACATCAAAATTTGAGTACTGCACAAACATGCAACAACTAGCAATGAATGCTAACTACTACATATGGTGCTAAACGGGATAATAAGTGTCAAGGATATTGAATAAGATTACAGA